CTTCAGCAGGTTGACAAGGCCTGCTCTGGCAGAAGACATTTTTGTTCCACACTCAGCCAGAAGGGCCTGTGTGGTTCCCAAGTCTACAGAACACAGCCTGGTGGTCACAGTGCACATTTAGTTTTTGCCAAGCATGATTCATTTTGAGCTCTAGGGCAGCAGTTCTCAACTGTGTGTTGAGACTCTTTCGGGGACTTCTAAGAGCCTTTTCACAGAGGTCACTTAAGACCATCAGAAAACACAGATATTAGCTGGACGGTGGTGGTGCACGCCTTTAATCCCAGCACTCGGCAGGCAGAGCCAGGCAGATCTCTGAGTTCGAGGCCAGTCTGGTTTACAGAGCGAGATCCAGGACAGGCACCAAAACAACACAGAGAAACCCTGTCTCGAAAAAACAAAACAAAACAAAAAACCCCAAACGAACAAACAAAAAACCACAGATATTTACATTACAATCCATAACAGCAGCAAAATTACAGTTAGGAAGTAGCAACAAAATAATTTTGTGACTGGGGGCCACCACAACATGAGAAACTGAATTAAAGGGTCGTAGCATCAGGAAGGTTGAGAACCACTGGTCTAGGGAGTCAGAGAGGAGGGTATTAGATATTCAGTCTCTGGGGTGGACTTGAGCAGGGATCTGGAAGTGTTTGGTACAGGCAGGCAGGTGTGAGGCCAGCACTTAGGCCATCTGGCTATGACTGCCAGAATCCTCACCTTCCCTCGGTGACCTCCTGCCTGGCCATTGGGTGTGGTCAGATTTTTCTTTTGTGACCTCCAGCTTACAAATAACAACACAGAGACTTATTATTAATTATGAAAACTTGTCCTTAGCTTAGGCTTTTTTTTAATTAGCTCTTATAACTTAATTAACCTGTTTCTATTAATCTACGTTCTATCACATGGCTTGGTTACCTTTCCTCTGTCCTGTATGTTCGACTTGTTCTGCAACCCAGTCGCTTCTCCTGCTTGCCTAGATTTATCCCTCTTTCTCTCTGCTAGAAATCCTACCTATCCTCTCCTGCCGAGCTGTTGGCCATTCAGCACTTTATGACACCAGTCACAGTGACACATCTTCACACAGTGTACAAATATCCCACAATTGGGAATGCATGGGAGCAGCACCCCCTGGCTGTCACTCTTGGGTAGGGACGCCCTGGTATGCAGACCTTACTGTGGCAGACCTGAGGAGCTCTGGGAGGCTGTGAAGCTGCTGCCTGTGGACCCTCTGCTTGCTATCAGGAGTGTGGTGACTGTCCCCAGGCAGACCACATCTGTGGCTCCCTTGGCATCAGTTAATTTGGAGAGGAATGGCGCTGCATTCTTTGCCCCGAATCTCTGTATGTGCACAGCATACACATCCTTGCACAGCAGTGAGCTGGATCTGCCAGGAGACCTTCCCTAGCACCACCGTGACTCCTTAGTGTTCGGGAGTAGAAGTCAGAACAGTGGTATTAGAATTGTGTGTGATTGGGCCTCCAAACGCATGCACAGTTCTACTTCAAAAATTTGTTAGGCCAGGCATGGTGATACACACCTGGAATCCTGGCAGTTGGGCCCATTAGGCATTCAAGGCCATCCTTGGCTACACAGCAAGTTTGAGGCCAGCCTGGACTGTATGAACCCTTAGCTTAAAAACAACAAAACAAATAAAACCATGTCATGATTTGTTGAAATGGGTTAATAGTAACACAATTAAAAGAATCAAAACCAATACTCCTCTCCTAGTTTGTTGTCTGTTGCTGTGATAAACACTATGACCAAGAGCACCTTGAGAAGAAAAGAGTTATTTGGCCAGATATATATGATATATCAATATCACAAAGGGAGGTCAGGCAGGGACTTAAGGAGGGAACCTGGAGTGGGAACTGAAGCAGAGGCCTCAGAGGAACCCTGCTTACAGGCTCGCCCCTCATGGCTTGTTCAGTCTGCTTTCTTGTACAGCTCAGGCCTGTCTCCCCAAGGGTGGCTCTGCCCTCTCACATCATAGGTCAACCTCATGGAGGCGATTTCTCATCTGGAAAGGTCCCTCTTCCCAGATGGCTCTAGCTTGTGCCAAGTTGGCAAACACAACCTGCACACCTCCAAACATGGCATCCCAGCTTGTACATCGGATCGGGGTCGTATTTATTTGTGATTTTTTTTTTTCAAAAAGCTTTTGATATGAGACCATTAGGGATAGTCCTTCCCCCTGCCAGGCTCGGCCCAGTGCCTCCTGCCAGGTCTGGGTCCCTGAGGTTGGTCTTCCTGAGGCCACACTTAATTATTCTGCTTTGAAAAAATGGATCAGACTAGTGTTAATGCGGCGTAGTCACCTGACCTTCCGTAACTGACTCAGTTTGGAATCTGGCTGACTTACTAGTTGCTTAGCAACAGGCGCTTCGCCTCCCACACGCTGTCTTGGAGCACCTATTCTGATGATGCTCAACATGGACTTCTTTCTGCAGACAGTGTCATTCAGAAAACAAAGTGGCATTTTAACCACACGAGTTCCTCCCAGATGAAGAGTGGCTTAGAAAAGATTCAGGAGGAGCTTGAGTTCCAGCCTCCAGCAGTTCTGTCCCTGGAGGGCACAGATGTGACAAATGGCATGCTGAACGGCCACACCCCAGTGTACTCTGAGCCTGGTAAGTGAAGATGAAGGGATGTATGTCAAATAGAACTTTTTTTCCCCACTGGAAAAATGGACTGGTTTGGTGGTGGCATATCAGATATGTTGGGAAGAATTTAGATGGACCCTATATCTGCATGGTTGTTATAAAAACAAAACAAAAACCTTACTGTTGTGATAGCGACTTGCTTCAAGGAAGCAGTCTGATGACATGCTGGAGTGTCCAGACTGACTTGGCAGGTTGTTCATCAAGGTGACGTTCACAAGTTTACACGTTATGAGAATTGGTGTGTTAGAAGCACCTCGTTGGACTGCATGGATTCTCCTTGGCTTACCACATTACTGAGACACTGGAAGCCTGCTCTGGGAAGCCCCAGCCCTCTTGTTGGAAAAGGGAAATAGGGGAAGTATTCTGCCCTGGGGACCAGTGGGATGGCTCTGTATAAAGGCTTGCCTCTAAGCCTAAGCACCTGGGTTTGTTCCCTGGGGACCACACGGTAGTAGGACAGTCCTTTCAGTTGTCCTCTGACCTCTGAACTTATGCGATGGCGCATCCCCTGGAAGATCTGTCTACATTGCAACAATCTAATTTTAAAGACTTCTGTACTAAACTCCAGGCTTGAAGTTTTAAGGGGCATATTAAATATGTTTGGTTTCGGCTTAATGTGTTTAAACCAGTAAGTTCCCAGGTTGGCTCACCTGCCAGTCAGCAAGCCGCTCTTGTTTATTTTGGGAGGATTTGAAGAAGGCTGGGTGACTGAGCCCAAGCTTCTCCCTTGCCATGCATGAACACAGGGACCCCTTTGTAATGTATGTTTTGTTTTTTTAAACGCTTAGAAAAGAGGAGCAAATCCCAAAAGCGCCAAGTTACCCATCTGTCTAGGACATTTTACTGCCTCACCTAATTGTCCCAAGGCTAGAGTCCTCACAGGTAGCATGTTCTGTTCTAACGGGAACTCGAATTGCTCCATGCGAACTAACACACTAACATTAGCATTAGCTGGGCTGTGGCTTCCAGGGGATGTGTGTGTGTGTGTGTGTGTGTGTGTGTGTGTGTGTGGTGTGTGGTGTGTGTGTGTGTGTGGTGTGTGTGTGTGTGTGTGGTGTGTGGTGTGTGTGTGTGTGTGTGGTGTGTGTGTGTGTGTGTGTGTGTGTGTGTGTGGTGTGTGGTGTGTGTGTGTGTGTGGTGTGTGTGTGTGTGTGTGGTGTGTGGTGTGTGTGTGTGTGTGTGTGTGGTGTGTGTGTGTGTGTGTGTGTGTGTGTGTGTGTGGTGTGTGTGTGTGTGTGTGTGTGTGTGTGTGTGTGTGTGTGCATGTGCGCGCACGCGCGCAGGGAAATGTCAGGACCAGAAAGGATACTGAGGAAGGAGCACAGCAGGAGAGCAGACTGGCAGCATCTGTGAACCAGACTTGGTTTTAATGGTGACCTTCGGGAGAGAGCAAGTCTGTGTTCCCATTATCGTCCTGGCTACAGTTGCAGCCTAGACAGTCAGATTGTTCTAGATTGACTACCTCCTCTTCCTGTGCATTTTAGAGTTTAAGGACTTGTCTTCTGTGAATTTCTCTGGATGCCCTATGACACTGAACATTGTCCTTGTTGGGAAAAGAGAGGAGCAGTTTACAAACTGAAGACTTGGGGCGGGTGGCGGGTGCTCTAGAGACTTGAGGGTCCCTGCCCCCAGCATCTCAGTCTGACAGGTTGGCATGCAGTGTCGGGTGACTCTGTGTTGGGACATCCCACTGGCACTTGCCTGTCCTGGTGACAGTTACAGGTGTCTCTGGACACCTCCCTCTGGGAGCACATCACCCCTGGTTAAAATAAAAAAACTACTAAGTGCTTACAAATTTGTGTTTGACACAAAAAGGGCTTTTTTCCGGAAAAGATTCACCTCCATTTCTGAGATCCATTCTGGCGTTCATTCCTGGCTTGCCCCGCTGACTTCCGTTGCTTTTTAGATGTGTGCTTGTGGTTCTGCGTTTAGCATCGTGAGTCTGTTAGCAGAGGTCTAGTTGGTGTCCTGTTCCCTTCTGTCACAGAGACGCAATTCTCACAAGACACTCTTTTCTTTTCATTGTGAAGCTCCGAATGTCCGGATGGAGCCGGTGACAGCCCTGGGTGTCCTCTCCCTTGTCCTCAACATCATGTGTGCTGCCCTGAACCTCATCCGTGGAGTTCACCTCGCAGAGCACTCTTTACAGGTGACCCCTCTACAGGTCCTTTTTTTTTTTTTTTTTTGGTGGTCTTGGATTGAATCTAGGACCTTATGAATGCTTCAGCATGCGCCTTTTGCCCTGGAGCTGCATCCCCAACCCTTCTTTACAGTCCGGATGGAAAGACGGGCACAGAAGCTGTCATGGGAGACAGATTGTCATGGGGTTAGGATTTTTGTTTGTTTGTTGTTTTTGTTTGTTTGTTTGTTTTTGATTTTTCGAGTCAGGGTTTCTCTGTGTAGCTTTGGAGCCTGTCCTGGAACTTGCTCTATAAACCAGGCTGGCCTCGAACTCACAGAGATCTGCCAGCCTCTGCCTCCTGAGTGCTGTGATTAAAGGTGTGAGCCACCACTGCCCAGTGCTTTTTTCCTTTTTTTGAGACAGGGTTTCTCTGTGTAACAGCTCTGGCTGTTCCAGAACTCATTCTGTAGACCAGGCTGGTCTCGAACTCACAGAGATCTGCCTGCCTCTGCCTCTCAAGTGCTGGGATCAAAGGTGTGTGCCATCACCACTGCCCGGCACAATTAGGTTTTATGAATGTTAAAAATTCAAATAAAATGTTTTAGAAATTTTAATCCATAAGCTGGATATGGTGATGCACCCCCATAATACCAGCACTGGAGAGGTAGAGGCAGGAAGATCAGAAGTTCGCATCCCATCTTCAGCTACATAAGAGTTCTGGGCCAGCTTAGGGTAGAGTATAAAAATAAAAGAATCTGAAACAAAAAAAGTTGAACAAATCTGGAAGGATCCCTTTGTGGTTATCTTTGGGAGTTCTGGGATGTTGCTAAGAAGTAGGTAGCTTGCTGTAAAGACTTTGGGCTGCCTCTGAGCCCTTAGGAACCAAGGATCTACTATCAACAGGATGCAGGTTGGGTTTTCACACTGCCAGGCTCTGGGTAAAGATGTTCCCACCGAGTGGTGTGTGGCCCACAGGAGCCTCTTCTCTTGTGGGAGACCCACATCCCTGGGATGAAGTGAGCATTCCTTTTGTTGGCCACTGGTGGTGAAACAACTTTCTGTTTCAATGCTTTCTTCAAATATTTCTTAAAAAATATTTTTGGAAATATTTCAAACACTTGACAAAGGAATCAAACTATTATTTGTGTAAGCAGGTAGTTGTTATTTTTAAAGATAGAACCATAGTTTTTTTTTTCTTTATAGATTTTTGTCTCATTGTTTTCTTTGGGCATTTTTTAATCTTACTGGCCTTTTGAATATATATTATGGTTTCTGATCTTGTGTTTTTATGGATTTTGGGGTTTGTGTGTATTTACTGTGCTTTTAAATTTTCTTTATTTTCTTTTTCTTTATTTTTTATTTTATTATTATTTTTGCCTTTTTTTTTAAGAGAGAAAGAAAGCATGGAGTTGGTTGGGTGGGGAGGTGGGGAGAGTCTGGGAGGGGGTGGGGGAGAGGAAACCGAGACCAGAATATACCATGTGAATTTTCAATTGAAAAGATAGCCAGGCAGTGGTGGCACCCGCCTTTAATCCCAGCACTCAGGAGGCAGAGCCAGGTGGATCTCTGTGAGTTTGAGACCAGCCTGGTCTACAGAGCGAGATCCAGTACAGGTTCCAAAGCTACACAGAGAAACCCTGTCTCGAAAAACCAAAAAAGGAAGAGATAAAGCCATAGTGCTCACAGCAGTGTTACTTGTTGACTAGAGAGGAAGGGTGGTGTTTGGTGGGTATTGAACCAGGATGATGTGGACGGAGCCGCTGGAAGAGCAGCATCAGCCTGTTTTAGAGCTGTAGCTGTGAAACCCCTTAGGCCGGTTACCACAGCTCATTCTTGACCACTGTGTGGTGTGACTCAGGCATCTGTCAGCTGTTTGTAGTAGGATTGGTCCCTGGCTGGCAAGGTGGTTAAGATAGACCTTGCCTTGAGGTTCTCATGGCCTCATGCAGGGATAGCACTGAGGAGGCAACTGTGCCCGGGTTCTAGAAGCTTAGCATTAACAGCTGAGAAAGGTTCTGAAGGGTGAAGGGATGGGGAGCTCACTGCATGTGGAGGATGTATCATGGAGGCATGGGACAGGAGTAGAAACAGTTTGTCTAACTGTTGAGAAAGGTCACATCCAACCCTGGATGTGGCTAGGCATGTCACCCCATTGAAATGGGAATAGCAAACTTCACACCACCATGGTTCCTTTCAGTCAGACCTTCTTCTTTGTGCCCCCGATCTGTTTTAGGTTGCCCAGGAAGAAGTTGGAAACATCCTGGCCTTCTTTATTCCTTCTGTGGCCTGCATGGTCCAGGTGGGTGCAGTCCCTGACTGGGTGCTTTTGGAGACTGCAAGCAGGTGCCTGAGGAAACAGTGACACCCAGTGTCATGCATCCCTACTGTGATTTCTCTGGAGTCACGGCTTTCCCTCATAGCTTGCTCAGCTGTCATGGTCTCTGAGGAGGACTTCACAAGGAGGCCACTCAGTCTTGGGAGGGCCTTCCTGCTTGCTCTGCCCCCTATACTGCATCTCTGTCTTCTCTGCATCCCCAGTCTGGACATCTGCCTGTGTGTCTCCAACATTCCCCCTTCTGTGACACCTGTTTTGTTCTCTTTGAATCTCCTCCTGTTCATCCGGTGATCAGCAGCCGCCGGTCCCAGCTTTGCTGTAGCGAATTCAGTTAATAAGTAAACACATACAGGTATCAGTTAATAGGTGAATGCATACAGGTGTCAGTTAATAGGTGAATGTATATAACTGTTTGTGGCTGCATCTGACTTGAGGCTGTCTGCTGCTCTCTGATTGAATGTGATGTGGTCTCATTTCAGTGTTATCTGTACCTGTTCTATAGTCCAGCAAGGACTCTGAAGGTGGTGCTGATGCTGGCCTTCATCTGCCTGGGCAATGTGTACCTGCATGGGTTGAGGAACACCTGGCAGATCCTCTTCCACATCGGAGTGGCTTTTCTGTCTTCGTATCAGATCCTGACCAGACAGCTGCAGGAGAGGCAGTCTGACTATGGAGTGTGAGGACAGCATCATGCAGTGATGCCTTTGATTTTTTTCCCCCGGAAGGCCAGTCTGTTTCCACTCCTGCTTCTCAACTTCACCTCAAATCTCCATCCTTGAAGCTCACAGATTCTGGCAGGTGCAGCGGAGGACCCAGGGCTGCTGGTTGCAGTCTTGGTCTGCGTGGAACATTTGTGCAGAACTGCCAGCCGAGCACAGGACGGGGCGGCCGAAGCTGGAGCTTGCTCAGAGAGCATCTCTGAGGTCAGAGTAGCAATGTTTTGGTCTCCCGAATGGAATGATACTGCAAACCGCTAGATTCTGTAGTTTTAGTCATTGGTGGGTGTCTGCTGAAGTCCGTTTGCAGCTTCAGTGTGACTCCAGCTGTCCTCAGAGTGTCAGTTCAGGGTGAATATGCTTCATACGTATAAGCTAGGTAAATTTTGTTTACATTTTTGATAACTTGGGTTCGATATACTTTTGGAATATTTAAATATATTTTGGATATAAATTGAAGCTCATTTAGAACAAAGGCAAACTTAGACTGAGGAAATGCTAAGGAAATCCGAGTTTATTTAATTTACAGAGACCTTTTATGGTGATGGGACTGTTATGGTGGGATACAGATGTGGTTTATATCTATTTTCAGGGTCTAGCTGAAGATCTCTAAATTAATAACCAATATTACTGGGTCATAAGCACATGGGCATGAGCAGACGTAAGAGCTTTAGGGTCCTTTCCATGGGGCAGAGAGGAGTGGGAAATGCCGGGGTTCAGAGGTCCTTGACAGAATTAGGGAGAGGCTTCCGTCATCAGGCGTTGCGTGGCAGCTGAGTGCCTGTCATGGCGGCATTGCTGGAGATGTGGTCTTGCGAACCTCCCAGAGAGGCCTCCCCTGAGCATCTCAGTTAGACCAAGGGCCTCACTGTTCTGTGGACAGGCATTAAGTAGGCATTAGCGCAGTAAGGCTTTGTGTGACTGACATGCGCGTTGCAAAGCTGCTGAGATGTGCTTCTGAGTCAGAGCCTCTGTGTCTCCAGTGTGGGTGTCTGGTGGCACTCAGGAAGCTATGTTGGGGTTCACCCCTCTGACTTCTTCTTGGAATAGTGCACTCACAGCTGTGTGGGCTGACCTGTATGGCTCCATAATTGGTAATCCTGTACTGATCGTTTTTAAAGGAGAAAGCCATCCCCAAAGTTACTGAGGAGTAGGGCGGACAGGAGTGGAGGGTTAGAACTCTTTTGTTCGGCTGTCCCTAGTACCATGTGTTGGTGAGCCACCAGGTGTCATTTTAGGAGAGAGCGTCCGTGACTCAGAACTGGGTTGGGAAAGTATTGCCATTGTGATTTTGTTTCCTTAGAGAATTTTCTGTTTTTAGTCAAATCTATAATGTCTGGGTTTGAATTCATAATGGGAACATCCTTGGGCGTGAATTTCAACCTTGTGTCTTTGTTGATTTCACACCTATGTGATTTTGTATATACTGTGCAGGCAAATGCTGACTCTTCTGAGAGAGAATTTTGAAGTGGCCAAAGAGGAAGCCAGAGGGAGGAGAAAATTCTTTTAATTCAAAGCACACACTCAAAAAATTTTTTAAAGTAAGTTAAAAAAGATCAGCCTAAAAATATATTGTTTTCCTCGTAAGCCTGTGTGGTATTGTGTTGCCTGTGTCTGGAGACCACACATACTCGAGGGTCTGAGCCTGTGGTTGTCAGTTCACAAGTGGTAACGAAGCAGTCCCTGAGGGTGAGCCCTTGCTAGAGATACTTCATAGAAGCTAGTGAGGGTGTTATCCACACTTGGTTGACACAGCTTGTGAGTTATCATCTACACAGGGTTCCAGACTGTCATATATGGAAGGAAAAAGTGTCCGCGAGGGAAACAGAAAACAGAGAACCTTTAACCGGAATCTAGCCAAGAAGCCTCACCTCCCTAGCGGAAGTGACTGGTGACAGGAAAGGAGCTCCAGGGAAACCCCAGGCTTTGGGCTAACTTACTCAGGCCTAAATGGTGGTAGCCCCCGTGGGATTTTTGATGCCAGGAAGCTGGTCCCACGGCAGGAGTGCTCCTCGGTCCACCGTGCACGATGCTGCTCTGGCATCTTCAGATGAGTGGTCAGGTGGTGCTGCCCAGCTGGCTCCCGTGAAACGGTGTTGAACAGCCTCAGGGGCGCTCCGGTCCAGATGAAACGGTGTTTGTTGAACAGCCTCAGGGGCGCTCCGGTCCAGATGCTCACAGACTTTGGGCTTCTGCAAGTGCTGTGTCTCTGCTGATATCTGGATGGGAGTGGCCCAGCAGAAAGCATATGATTTGGGTTACTTTTCCCTCAGTGATCCTTATCTTGGCGGGGACTGTACCTGGCTTTCCTTTTTCTAGGTGGATACAGCTGGGCCATCTAGGGTCGAGTTTCCTCTCAGTCCCAGATGCCTCACTGACTCATGGCTGTGGTTCTTGCTGTCCATGAACCCTGCTGACATGCATTGTGGGCCTTTTCCTTGACCCGCCTTTCTTTCCTAGCTGCCGTGAATTCCCTCTCCCCTGCCTGCTTCCACTCTGCCTCCTACATTCCTGTCTCCACATAGAGGTACAGGCTGGAGTCTGTGGAGAGACAGGAATCATGATGGAAAGGGAGCTGGCTTTGCAGTCTCACCCTCTGCCCCACCATGGCTCAGCACTCAGGAGAAACAACTCTTTGGCTGTCATCCCTGATGGGGGCTAGGGCAATAGCAGCAGACCCATGAATGTGGCTGTTTGGAGCATAGGAAACAGGGAACGAGGGCCGAACTTCTGTTCACACCTATGCTATGTTGATCCTTGAAGGAGGAGCTGCCTGCTCATTGTAATACCAACACAGCCCTTTAATCTCTTCTACATGTTTGACAATGAATGACACACGGGAGAAGCCGGGCATGTCCAGGAGTGCACACACAAGAGAGGCTGGGCATGTCCAGGAGTGCACACACAAGAGAGGCTGGGCATGTCCAGGAGTGCACACACAAGAGAGGCTGGGCATGTCCAGGAGTGCACACACAAGAGAGGCCGGGCATGTCCAGGAGTGCACACACAAGAGAGGCCGGGCATGTCCAGGAGTGCACACACAAGAGAGGCCGGGCATGTCCAGGAGTGCACACACAAGAGAGGCCGGGCATGTCCAGGAGTGCACACACAAGAGAGGCCGGGCATGTCCAGGAGTGCACACACGAGAGAGGCTGGGCATGTCCAGGAGTGCACACACGAGAGAGGCTGGGCATGTCCAGGAGTGCACACACAAGAGAGGCCGGGCATGTCCAGGAGTGCACACACAAGAGAGGCTGGGCATGTCCAGGAGTGCACACACGAGAGAGGCTGGGCATGTCCAGGAGTGCACACACAAGAGAGGCTGGGCATGTCCAGGAGTGCACACACAAGAGAGGCTGGGCATGTCCAGGAGTGCACACACAAGAGAGGCCGGGCATGTCCAGGAGTGCACACACAAGAGAGGCCGGGCATGGTCAGGAGTGCACACACGAGAGAGGCCGGGCATGGTCAGGAGTGCACACACGAGAGAGGCCAGGCATGTCCAGGATGCTCAGGTCTGGGGCCATTCTGCCTGTGTGCTGTGAGAGCCAAGAACGGTGGAGGAAGGAAGAGAAACCAGGTGTGCCCTGGAGAGATGAAGTAAGGGAAGGGTCTCACAGGTCAGCCCACCCAGTGGCCTGGAGACTTCCGCTCAGTCCTGGTCACAGTGGGAATCCCTGCCTGCTGTCCTCAGTGTCTTCACCTGCAAGAGGACAGGAACACCAGTTTGCAATCCCTGTATGCTCCTGTGAGAAAAGCATATGCACTTGCAAGTGGCCACAGGGTGGATTGTCATAGAGAAAGAGAAGGGTTGCCAGATTGCTGGGTGTGTGCAGCAGGCAGCAGACCTCACCTATGTTCAAGCATTCACAAGGTGACATTTTCTGCTGCTGCAGATTAAGGCTCCATGCCTTCATTCCAGAAAGGAAGTGGCTCCTTTCTCCCTGGACCTGCCTCTGGGTTTTTGTGCATGGATCGTTATCATCACTAGACCTGCTTTAGGATCCAGGAATCTAGTCTGTAGACTGGATCAGACTTCAGTGTCTGTCTCCAGTCTCAACAAGGAGAGCCCCTCTCCGCCCACTCACCCACCCAGAAGCGATGCTGTCACTCTTGTGTCTCTGGGGACAGCCGTGGAAGGGGGCTTACTCTTCACATCTGGTAATAGTGGGCTAGGGGAATGCCTGCCCGTGGGAAGTGATGGGCAGGGCTGTGGCCCACAATTGCCTTAAATTAAACCCATTCTTTCTTTCCCTTTGACCCATGTCTGCTGCACTATGTGTAACCTTTAACCCTTAACATTGATATCCTTAATTGCTTCAGAAACGTTATCTAATGAATACTTCGTATGACTCGGCCCCCTAGGATTTGATTTGGCTTAGTGGGTTTTTCTAAGAACATAAAAAATTGAGGCTAATTTAGGCAAAACCATTTATTCCACATACTCATCCCTAGGGTTTGGTGCCCATATTATAAGCTACTTTTCAACTGATAACAAAGATCTATTTTGAGTACATGATGGGCACATTTTAACTTTCACATACTGGTAAACTGAAACTTGTGACAATGTACTGATGTTGTACAGCTGTTTATATACCGTGTATATTAAAAGGACATGAGGTGGCTTCAGAATTGTGTGGAGAATAAATCTAAAGTGTTTACCAATGCGTGTGTGTGTGTGTGTGTGTGTGTGTGTGTGTGTGTGTGTGTGAGCAGTTCTGAATCGGGGGCTATCTTATTGGTCTGAGGTGGTCTGTGAGCCGCCTCACAGGTGGGAGAAGCGACATCTGGTCTGAACAAGTCTGAGGACTTCAGAACAGGTCTCTAACCAAAGTAGCAGGAGTGGACTGCTCTATGGGTTGGGCAGCCTGCAGGCTCTGGAGCTTCACCCTGCTGTGTGAGTTCTGGGCTTCTGTGAGTGGCCACCAGGAGGCGCAGGAGCCAGCCACATCACCTCGTCCCAACTTGGGGACGCTATCCTTTGTCTGCTGCTGCTTTGGAACAAAATCCCCAGGAAGGGGTTTGATGCAGCCTCTTTGGACCAGCCTCCCGAGCTGTTAGGAGTGTTTGTTCCCAGCGTCCCTCCTTTGTCTGTCCTGAGTCCCAGCCATTGGAAGCCAAAGCCATTTTCCAAAATATGCATTTTAGTTGCTGGATTTTGGGATTTGAAGGTAGACAAGTCCTGTTGCTCAGGTGTGGAAGTTGAGCCCTGGTCTAGAGAGCCAGTCAGAGAACATCCCAAAGATCTATCCCCTGGCCTGGAAAGGGAGGGCTGTCCCCATCTGGTAGTACTCAAAAATAATAGCAGCCTTGGACCGTGAAGATGCTTCTTCTGTGCCAGGAGGACTGGGGGAGAGGTTGGGCTGCTGAGTCTCTGCCTTTTCCTGGAGTCCTACCCTTGCAGGGGGCCTGATTACAGCTGCCAACCATGCTTGCCCAGCACCAGAGGAGGAAAGACTAAGGAGAAGGGCCTGGCAGAGCTGTGAACCAGGTCTCAGACAGAGGGTCAGATGGACGGACAAGGCAAAGTGTGTGGAGTTTGCTGAGCACCAAAGAGAAGACCTTCTGATCTGAGGGGGAAGATACTTTACTTAAAGTCATAGGCACACCTATTAAAAAGATTGGCAGGTTTGGGGCTGGAGAGACGGTTCAGCAGTTCGGGACACTGGCTGCTCTTCCAGAGGACCTGGGTTTGGTTACTAGCATTCACATGGCAGCTCACAGTTGGCTCTAACTCCAGTTACAGGGGATCTGATGCCTTCTGGCCTCTGCAAGCACCAGGTATGCATGCGGTGCACAAACACACATGCACAGAAAATCCCCACAGATAGGAAAATAAGTAAGTACATATTTTAAAAAAGTTTGATGACAAGAGATCCTGGAAAAAGTGAAAAGAATGGGAGGGCTTGGTCACAGAGCTGGAAGTGGTAAGGATTGGCATAGGAGCAATTTGTGTGGATCAGCAAGAAATTGCAACCCTGATTTAAGAAACAAAAGCCAAAAAACTGAAGACAAGGTCTGAAAGGCTCATGAGTAAGCAACAGAAGAAATGACTGTTAGAACCGTGGGCACACATTAAAATAACAGGGAGACACCACCTTATGGGTAGGCCTGGGCTGTGGCTAAGTTGGTAGAGAGAATGACTAGTACTTATGAGGCCCCAGGTTCAATCCCCAACACCACATAAGCCAGGTATGGTGACTCAAGACTGTGGTCCCAGCACTCAGGAATGGGAGGCAGGAGGATCAGAAGTTCAAGGTAATCCTTGGTATATGGGGGTTCAAGCCCAGCTACATGAGACCCTGTGTCAAAACAATGGAAAGAGTGTCCATGGCTGCTTCTGGGACCAGGGAGGAGCCAAAGCGAAGGCTAGCAGCTGGAGTGGTAAGGGTGTGTTTCTGGGGGCCACGAGGGATGGGGAAAGTGGGAGCAGAATGAAAGGGAGAAGAAGAGTTGGGCACCAGTCTGACCCCCCCAGGGACTGTCCTCCCCAGATCCAGGCTGCCTGAGGTAGTTTCCTGGCTGAGGCTTTCCCACAGGAGGCACTCTGCCGAAAGGCTCTCATGAGGACGAGGAACAGCTGCAGGGGGACAGAGGTGCCCCAAAGCCAGCCTTCCCTCCCACCCCAGAAATAGCCTGAGCCCAGAGTGTGCGCCTGGGGAAGTGAAGCCAGGGTGGTGGGGGTTTGGTGAAGCAGACCGGGACCACCCTGGCCCTGGGGGCTTGTTCCAGGCGCATTTCCAAGGCCCCAGGGATCCGCACAAGGGCCAGAGGCAAGGAACGTGGGGCCAGTCAGAGTGAACTTTCTCACGGGACCGTCCAGCAGGCCTCACAAAGGCCGGGAGCTCACTGTCCTGGAGGTGTGCAAGCCGAGGGGCTGGGTGCAAGTGGGCCTCAGAACACGCTGTCCCCACCTCACAGGCATTGTCCTGTCTCATTGCTGGTATCTGAGAGGACGTCTGTTTGTCTCCCGGAGTGCTGCCTGTTGTGTCCATCCTCGGGTGAACCAGACGCCAGCCACAGGAAACAACCCATGCCAGCTCCCGTTTGAAGAGTAAATATTAGTCTTTTCAAGAGCTGCCCGTTCTCTGTCACTTGGCACAGAGGACGTTGAGTTGGGCGGCGGGGGTGGGGGGGACCTCTTGGTCTACATATACTATGGAGTTGTGGCTCTCAGTTGCTAATGCAAGGGGGGGCTTCAGAAAGAGCCCCATCCTTTTTCTAGGAATGCACCCGAATGCCTGTGAAGAAGACCACTCTGAGACCCCAAGCCCTACCTTACCCCCGCCTCTTCCCCCAGACATGGTTCAGGCTGCTTCTACTGAGGAAGGGGACTGGAAAGTCTGACTTGATCTTGAGGTATCTGGGCCCCTGTTCTGAATTACGTGACCATGAAACACACTGCTTATCAGGAAGGGGGAAGAGCCTGCCCATTTCTTGCATCAGTGCCTAGGGAAGGCCTTGGGAAGTACCCTACCTGGCCACAAAGTCCTGACTCTGGCTTCCCAACCTGTTTCTTTCCTCTGGGACCATCCTCATTTATCTCCACTGTTATCACTCCTGGGATGGTCCTAGCCTCACCTCCACCCTCAGTGTCTTAGATTTGCACCGGGTGAGTGCGGAGCAAATGGAATGGTTGTTCTTCATGGCAACGGCTGTATTTGGAATTACCTAGAAGACATGCCATTGGGTATGCCTGTGAGGACATTTCCAGAAAGGCTTAACTAAGATGGGGAGTCCACCCTGAATGTGGGTGTCTCCATCCCATGGGCTGGGGTCTCAGGCTGAGTAAAAAGGAGAAAGCGTATTGAACACCGGTATTCACCTCTCTCTGCTTCCTGACTGGGGACACCTGCTTTGACTCCTGCTGCACTGAACGCTTCCTCCTGTGACCTCCCCGCCATGATGAACTGTATCCCCTCATGCCATGACATGCCAACATACTGTCTTCCCTAGGTTGCTCTTGATCTGTTACGGCAACGAGGAAACAGTTAATAAGAAACTCTGCCGAGCCGGGTGGTGGTGGCACACGCCTTTAATCCCAATACTTGGGAGGCAGAGCCAGGCGGATCTCCGTGAGTTCGAGGCCAGCCTGGGCTACACAGAGTGAGTTCCAGGAAAGGTGCCAAGCTACACAGAGAAACCCTGTCTTGAAAAACGGGGGGGGGGGGGTTAGGGGGGAGGGAAAGAAACTCTGTGGAATGAATGTGAAAGGACAATGTGAAGGCATCAGAGAGCTGGGATTCGAACCCCCGACTCCTGCAAGCCGCTGCTTTCTTCCGTCCCAGGAAGAGCTGGAGAAAAGGCCTTCCATCCCCAGAGGAGGTACTGTAGAACAGCTGGGCAGGGAAGGGATGAGAACTGATAAAAGAGGAGTGTGGCCCCCACTGGCCACTGACACAGGAGCCCCGTTTCAGTGCCTCCCCCAATTCCTAGGCAGCCTTCAGGGACACATGAAGCTACAGATTGAATAGAAGAGGATTTGAGTGAAGGTGAGGGAAGCCAGGGCAAGAACTCAGGCAGGAACCTGGAGGCAGGAACTGAAACAGAGACCACGGGGAATGATGCTTACTGGCTTGTTCCCTGTGTCTGTGCAGCAAGCCTCTGTGTATAACCCAGGCCCACCTGCCCAGGGTGGCACTACCCACAGTGGGCTAGACCCTCCCCCATCAGTTAACAATCAAGAAACGCCCCACAGGCATACATGCCTGTAGGCCAGTCTGACAGAGGCAATTCCTCAATTGAGGTTCTCTCCTCCCAGGTGTCTCTAGTTTGTGTTAAGTTGAATCCCTTCTCTTGACATTCACGATCCTTCCTGTCCTGTGTGGAGGCTGGGGCATTGTCAAGATGGCCTCATGATCTATCTTCCTCATCCTTGGGGTCTGCAGAAGGTAAGTCCTAAATGAATTATGTTTCCCGATAAGGCATATCCTTCGTTCCCATGGATGGGCTTCTGAGGGTAGGCCCTGGGGCGTTGACAGGCATCCTACAGACAGTGGCTGAGAAGAAAAGCCAACACACTGAGGAGAGCAGTGGGAACACCGGGCTGTACACTGACAAGAGCCCTGGGTTAGCCCTGGGGCTGTCACAGCTCTCTGCCATCACCCTGGCGAAGTCCTTTGTGGAAAACAGAGGACAGCCTGGAGCTCTTCAGTGTTTCTTCCACTGTGGCATCCTGGAACTCAGGGATGCTGGGACTCCTGGGATTGAGACAAGGACTAGGGTGACATGAGGGAGGAGGTTGCTGAGAGTATGGGATCTAAGCAGGTAAACAAAACAGCAGCTCAGGAATCAAAGTAAGTAATAGTTTAATGCAGTATTTTAAAATATCAAAATTAATGCAAAAATACAAGATGAACAATATATCAAGACAGAATCAGGATTGCTGGCTGGCTTGACTCTTCTTATGTCTCCAAGTAGGGCACACCCAAACGATCCCATCTCTGACAATATACAGAATATCTGAGGCATGGCTATGGGATTTGGAGAGCTGGGTTCAACACCATCCTCTACAGTGACTTCCCTTCTCTGGATTTTGGCTGTCCCATCTGTCTTGTGTGGAGGCTGGGGCATTGCCAAGATGGCCTCCTGACGCATCCCTCTGGCCTGCTGAGGTTACTCTGTTCCTTTTCCTGGGAGTCTGTGTCTTCAGAGTCATAGACTCCGG